GGACTCCGGGAGGGCCACCGCGGCGCCGACACAGCTGAGCGCCAGCGCCTTCACGCTGACACGCACGTCCCTGTCGGGAACCAAGGCTGCAAAGGAACCACCTGGCGTCACCTTCAGCTTCAAAGCAGCAAACACTGAGTCTCCACAAGAGCAAGACTAGACCCCCTGCGGCAGCCCCCGCCCTCCCGGCAACCAGTACCACCTCCCCTCCCGCCCACCAGCCTCGGCTGACCGCCAGCCCGCCAGCGGCGCCAGGCTGCCGAACCCGGGCCTCCCCGCGCTCTCCCCGGCCCCCTTACCGTTTCTCTCCCCTGTGAGCAGAAACGAAGCAGACAAGAGGCGGACACAGTGGGTGAGGGGCGCAGAGTCGTCGTCGTCAGGCTGCCCGATGTCCCCTCTGATGCGGCGGGGCTGGAACAGAGAAACCGACACTTGCTTGTCTGACAACACAGCACACGCTCGTCCCCTCGCTCACTCAGCGGGCGGTGCTGGGGCACAGGTGCTGCCTCACCGGCCACGGGCGAGAGGCAGGTACCATCAGGGCTGCGTGGGCTGCAGCAGGGACTCAGCGCGCAGAGGGCACACCAGGTAGGGGCTGCTGGGGAAGCCACCGGCTATGGGCAGGGCGGCCCTGGAGCTGGGAAAAGCCCGAGGCGCAGCGGGAGGAGCCTGTGTGGGGATCTAAAGCCACGACTGAGGCTGCAAGAGGGACTGAGCGCCTCTGTGGCTGAGGACCCACTAGTTCTTGCCCTCAAGGCATTTAAACCAACTGGGAGGACAGGCAGTTCCGCAGGAAACGAAGTTAGAATGACCGCCTGACCCAGCCATTCCTCCAGGAACTGAAAGAGGGCCTCGAGGAGACACCTGACACCATGACCACGGCCCGCTGTTCCCAAAGGCCAGCAGGGGGAAGGAGGAGACAAAATGTGATGGCACAGAGAACGGAATGTTAGCTCATGTTTAAAATGAAAGGCAGGAGAGTCTGACACCTGCTACAACATGGACAGCCTTGAGGCCAGGTGCTCAGTGACGTGAGTGAGCCACACAGAAGGGCAATGCTGTAGGGTCCCTTATGTGAGGCCCCTGGAGGCGTCAATCCAGAGAGCGCATGCAGAAGGGAGGCCCCAGGCCGAGGAGGGAGGACTGGGGCTGCAGTGTCCGGGGACAGAGCTTCCGCCTGGGAAGGGAAGGGCTGGGAGACGGATGTGGTGACAGTCAACAACGTGAAGGCATTTAAGCCACTGAACTGGCAAGTTTTAAGTTCCGGGTGTTCTACCACAATAAACAAACCCACAGATCAATTCAAAGCGACCAACACAAGAAACACTGCAGAGCTCTGCAGGTGGTCAAGTGAATGGTCCCAGAAGGTGGGGAGGTAGACAGGCCAGTGGGAGGGCTCCAGGGAAGAGGCCTCAGGGTTCTCCAGGACGGCTGGGGTTGGGGGGGGGGGGGGGGGCAGCAGGCGACAGACGGCCCAGGGACCACTCTCCTGAGCCTGAGCCTCTCACCTTGTTGTCCTGATCCCCTGGGTCGGCGGCGTCCTCTCTGGACACACCCCTGTCCACACTGCTGTCCGAGGGCTGCCTGCTGTGGCCCATGCTTTTCAGTAAATGTGCTTGCTGAAGGGCTTCCAAAACACAGAAGCAGGGTCAGTGACAAACCTCGCATTAGACGCACACGCGCACGCACACCTTCAGAGTCAGCGTGATCGGAGGCGTTAGGTCAAGGAAAAGGGCGGTGGTTCCTTGACGTTCCTCCTCACCCACAACCCAGAAAACAGACACCCCGGGACTTCTTCCTGGGCACAAAGACAGACGAAGGTGGCGGGGCTGCCCCGGCACATGCCGGAGCCCACATACCTGCGGACGCAGCTGCAAAGGCGACGGCGTCCTCGGGAAGGCCCGCGGCCTCCTCCTCCTCCGCCTCCTCTTCCTCCTCCTCCGGCGGTGGGAGCTGCATCCCCGGGTCCTGGCTGTCGGCGCCGTCTAACACCTGGACGGTGCAAAGGGGTGGTGAGGCTCTGAACCAACTCCCAAGGGCAAAGGCGAAAACCACACGGCGACGGGCCGCCCACAGCCACAGCGGCCGTCCTCCAGTGCACAGACGCATGCGCCCAAACTGCCCGAGCTCGCAGGTCACGGCACCACGCGCTCTAAAACGCTTTCACTCTAGAAATTCCAGTCTGGAAATCTCTACTTTTTAAAAAGATTTTTACCCGAGGAGGATATTTTTTTTCCCATTGAATTTTTTTAGCAAGAGGTTGGAAGGGAAGGGGGCAGAGGGAGAGGGGGAGGGGGAGAGGGAGAGAGAGACAGAGACAGAGAGAGACAGAGAGAGACATCAATGCGAGAGATTTTAGCAGAGTCCATATCAACTAATCTAACTCTGCCCTCATTCAACACAAGACGCTGGGCCACTCCCGCAGCGAAGGTCTCAGAAGGGGCTGAGCGCTCCGTCTGGGTCCATCTGGTGCCTCTGCACCGTCCGTGGGTCGGACGGACGAGGGTCCAGGTCTGGGCCTCTGGGGCGGCCCCTATGCAGACACCAGGTGCACCCTCCCCACTTACGATTTCGGAGCTGTCTGAAGGGGTCACGGCTGAGTCGGGCCCCTCGGTGGTGGTCTGAGAGCTGTCGCTGAGCGGGGAGGAGGCCTGGGTCCCATCGTTCAGGTCCATGGCCGGGTCGGACGGGACCGCGCTGATCTGGCTGGAGCTGTGGCTTAAGATATCCTCCTCGTCCCCGTCAGTGGCTGCACTCGCCAAGTCACAGCCGGTCAGATCCACCGAGTCCGGCTGTAGCGTGTGCTGTGACCGGGGCTGCTCGGTGATGATGTCGTGACCCGTGGAGTCAGCCGCGGAGCTGACAGAGCCCGGCGTGGAGACCCCGGAAGAGGCAGCCAGCTCCCCACAGATCTCGCCCTTGACTGAGGCTGAAGACAAAGAAAGGGCCAGGAAAAACATCCGCTAGGGATCAAATGCTTGCAAATACGCTCAAACTCACTGTCACTATTTTAACAGCAAAAATCCTCAAATACAGTGAAATGAACTAGAATAGTTCAAAAGCAAGAGAACAGTGCATCCTTTAAACATGATCACAACCGCAGCCCACGGTTACTGCCCTTTCACCATGTCACCACATCGGACAAAAGATGTTGGGTCAGCCCTAGCTGGTGTGGCTCAGTGGATA